CAAATTTACCCCTGTATAAAAAGACAAGTGTGTCAACTTGTCCCAGTCTGGTGGAATTAGTTAATTCTATGAAATGATTAGGCTCATAATTAATTTCAGTAATAAACACAAACGATCTATCAGTGAGGCTTTTCCTCACATCATTAAAACCTGACAGATGAGATCATCTTAAATGCTGCCTGACTCTGAGATGCACTGATTCTGATCGCCATCTGTAAAGATTTTTCAGCGGATGCTTCAGGAGCCAAGAAATAAAATGCTCATGCAGTGTGTTCAATAATTAGTTCACTGATGGACCAATTGAGAGTCACAGGTGTGTTTATTGATTAAGCGAAAGTGTGATTACATTATTTAAAAAATACAATATTTAGTCAAAGTTTTTTTTAAACAATATGACTGACCCTATAATCAACAATTAGTCAAAACCCCAACCCCTTTCCTTTCACTCACTAATTGGCAACACATGCACTGATACACTCATGATCCACCATCTGCTGAGATTCAAATTGGCAAGAAGATTTCTGCATTTGTAGAGCACCAGTTCATTGCATAAAACTGGGATTGGGTTTCATTCAGAGAATCTCCAGGTTTAATTGTAACAACATTAGCGAAATAACAGAAAACAAAACCTGCTCCTTCATCTTGAACACTGGACTGATTACTGAACCTAAAAATGTAGCAGACTTTTGCTTATGTGCTTTCAGGTTCTTTCTAAATGTTGAAGTTTTTTTTTTCCCTAAAAAACTCACTTACTTGCTTACTCACTCACTGGATCACTCGCTCACTGACTCACTGGTTCACTCACTCACTCACTCACTCACTCACTCACTCACTCATCCAATGACTCCCTCACTCACAGACTCTCTGACCCACTCAATGACTCACTTACTTGCTCACTCACTCACTGGATCACTCGCTCACTGACTCACTGGTTCACTCATTTCCTCACTCACTGGATCACTTGCTCACTCATTGGTTCACTCACTCACTCACTGGATCACTCGCTCACTCACTCATTCACTGGATCACTAGCTCACTCACTGGTTCACTCACTCACTACATCACTCACTCACTGACTCATTGGTTCACTCGCTCACTCACTCACTCACTCACTCACTGGATCACACGCTCACTTACTAGATCACTCGCTCACTGGTTCACTCACTCACTCATTGGATCACTTGCTTACTCACTGGATCACTTGCTCACTCACTGGATTACTCGCTCACTGGTTCACTGGCTCACTCATTCACTGGCTCACTCACTCACTGGCTCACTCACTCACTGGATCACTCGCTCACTCACTGGTTCACTCACTCACTACATCACTCACTCACTGACTCATTGGTTCACTCGCTCACTCACTCACTCACTCACTCACTGGATCACACGCTCACTTACTAGATCACTCGCTCACTGGTTCACTCACTCACTCACTCATTGGATCACTTGCTTACTCACTGGATCACTTGCTCACTCACTGGATTACAAGCTCACTGGTTCACTGGCTCACTCATTCACTGGCTCACTCACTCACTGGTTCACTCACTCACTCACTCATTGGATCACTTGCTTACTCACTGGATCACTTGCTCACTCACTGGATTACTAGCTCACTGGTTCACTGGCTCACTCATTCACTGGATCACTCACTCACTCACTGGATCACTCACTCACTCACTGGATCACTCGCTCACTCACTGGTTCACTCACTGACTCAATGGATCACTCCCTCACTCACTCACTGGTTCACTCACTCACTGGCTCATTCACTTACTAAGGGCCTACTCACACTATGCCATCCGTACCGTGCCCATGCCCGTTTCCCGGATCGTTTGAGAAGTGTGATTCACCAAGCATGGTTCACTTGGCCGGCCCTGGCCCGGTTGGAAGAGATGGGCCTGAGCGTGGTTCGCTTGGGCGCAGTACGTTTGTAGTGTGAGTGCAAAACGCGCCAAAGCCCGAAACTGAAAGCGAGACGTGACTTTTAAGGGACTGTTTCATATGGGTTTATTAATCACTCTTACTGTTTAGTGAACGCAAACTGCCGTAGTTTATTAAAGACACAAACCTCTCACAGCACGACAGCTGCGCACCTTCAGCAGACCTCCTCATTCCTGCAGCACGAGAGCTTTATGATTATGAGCGCCAAAAGTGGCGGATCTGTTCGGCGAAATACCTGGCTGCGTGTCACCGCATCCCTAAGGACTGTTTGGTGAAATATTTGACTGCATGTCACTGCAAATCAAACGACTGACACAATATAACTAGAGAAAACTCCTCTGTGCTGAGCGAGAGCACTTCTCACTTAACAGCACAGCAGCGATGACGTAAGCGTGCAGAGGCCCAATTGTGGTGTGAGTGCGGGCCGTCGGGAGAGACGGGAGGGGGGACAAGCGTGCTTTGGCCCGTTTCGAGGCAACTCTACCTAGTGTTAGTACGGCCTAACTCTCATTCATTCACTGGCTCATTCACTCCCTGACTCACTCTGTACCCTGTATAAAACAGTACCCTGTATAAAAAACTAAAACATTTACTATAAATATAGAATTATTTCATGTAGACTCTTTCCTCAGGGGTCACCAGCTATTGACATCCACAGTGGGAAAACAAATACTCCACTCTCAAAAATAAAGGTACAAAACCAGAAAATGTTTTGTAACTTTAGGGAATATTTTTGTACTTTTAAAGTTCACGTTTGTGCATTTGACATACTATGAGGTACACATTTGTCCTTTTATTGGAGGTCAGTGGCTGCTGTTTTTTTTTTAAAGCATTCTTCAAAATATCTTCTTTTGTGTTCAACAGAAAATAGAAAGAAACTCAAACAGGGTTGGAACAAGTGAAGGCTGAGTAAATGATTTTGGAGGACTACCCCTTTAAATCTTGAACTGAAAATATAAAAGCAGACAACAGGTGGCGACAAAAACCATAACATGTGCCTATTACTATAAACTAATAATCATGTGATTTCTGAAAAGGAGATCTAAAACAGTAAAACGCCAACATATATCTCTAACAAAGACTGTATTTATAGATTTATCGCATTTTACTTGTTTTTTATTGTTAATACAAAATACATACACTGCAAAATCATCTTGAAGAAATTAATGAGAAACCTTTTATCCATACACAACTATTTAAAGGAATGCTGATTAAGATATTTAAATATAAATATAAATTTATTTTTAATGATCATTATTACTCTTTGAGCCCTTAAAGCTTTATTTGTTGCAGTTCCAATGAAAACATGGTGAAAACGAAAGAGTTTCTAAATAGGTCTGAAAATAACAGGATGTCATTGAAAGGAAGTCAGTAGAAAAAAAATAGATTTTATAACAGTGCATTATAACGACATGTTTCATGGTAAAAGCTCCAGATGATATACATTAGTGTATTCATTCTAATCAACAGAAAATGGCTGAATTGATTGAAATCATAATACTATAGATCAGGTTTTATTAAAGTGCACTAAATAAGATTTAGATAAGCTCCCTCTGTTGTTGCTCTTATTACACAAACACTCTTTTGATATTATTTGTTGATACACCCTTTATATTGTGCCTTATGCTACAGTGCTATCTCAATAATATGTTTTAATGTTTATTAATTGTTTGTTGCTTTCTTATTTTCAACTGTTAAATATTTGTAAGTATAGGTTTTTGGAGTTATAATAATAACAGTATAGACTTAATTTTTGAAGCTGATTATTCAGTCATTTATTTCTTTATTTTCTTTTCGGCTTAGTTCCTTTATGAATCTGGGGTCGCCATTATTATTATTATTATTAATATTCATTCATTCATTAATTTTCCTTCGGCTTAGTCACTTTATTGATCAGGGGTCACCACAGTGAAATGATCCACCAAACTAGGTAAGTGTCAGTTGGGTTTTTGCTCTTATTTATCATGTTGTACAGATGTCCTAACAGGCCATGCATTAAAATATATTCTTTCTCTTTTGTTTTCTTGTGATCACCACTTAATTTTTTTTTTGCTTTTATTTATGCGTTAATTATTATCATTACAAAATATAATAATGCATGACCTCTAAGGACTTACGTAGTGCTCTGTTTACATTAAATAACTGCAAAAAGGTCCACTTATAAAAAAAAAAAAAAGAACCACCCCTTACACAAGGCTGGCTATGAGCCTGTTAAAGCCTAATGAATATTTTTATATTACTGTTATGGGTAGCTCACTCACAGACGCACGTGAATTATCAAATAACACACATTTATTTACAAGAAGCACTTACAACAGGAACTAGAACATCAAACACAGTCAGGACATGGAGCGTGACAATACAATACTGGACCATGAACTAAACACACTCAGGGATATAAATACCCAAGACATGATCGAACTGAAAACAAACGGGAGAGACACAGGTGGAACTAATGAATGGCGGGAAAAGACAAAGGAATCACATGACAATAACAGAAAGCACATGGAACACAGCATGACAACAAACGCATGGCACACACCACAACAAAGACACCAGAGGGGTACTGCACAAAAGTTAAATAAGAGATTAAGCTGGATATTGAGGCTATGGTGGAGTTTCGCCTTGACTTGACTTGAAAACAGGCTAAATTAAGCTAAAATAAGTTACTAAGCAGTTCCAGCCATGGGCCCTAACAGCCCTAAAATGCACCCTTTGTAGTTAAATATATTATTTATTTATTTTGCCGTTTTGTTTTTTTTCTATATCACTGAATCTCCTTTTTCCTTCATTCATTTTCTTTTCGGCTTAGTCCCTTTATTAATCAGGGGTCGCCACAGCGGAATAAATCGCCAACTTATCCTGCATATGTTTTAGGCAGTGGACGCCCATCCAGCTGCAACCCATCACTGGGAAACACCCATACACTCTTACATTCACACACATACTCTACGGATAATTTAGATTACCCAATTCACCTAAAGCACATGTCTTTGGACTGTGGGGGAAAACTGAAGCACCTGGAGGAAACCCACACCAAAACGGGGAGAACATGCAAACTCTACATAGAAATGCAATTCTTGCTGTGAGGCAATCGTGCTACCCACTGCGCTACAGTGATGTCCTAAAATTGATTCACAACTAAAAAAAAAGGAATAAATTGAAAATAATGTTTTTAAAACTGAATGTTTACTTGACTGCTGGACTGCCTCATGAATGGGGGTGAGAGACAAATTTGCGTAGATTTTATAATTACGTTCAAATTTAATTTGTTAGACCCTTACCATACAAAATATGATGTTATGATATAATGAGATTATGTGTATAATTTATACCTCTATTCATTGGGGTCCCCCAAACTTCCTGAGGCCCTAAGCAGCCTCTTCGCTAGTTGGTTAAATTCACCCCTGCTTATCCTGGCTATCAACATCAGGCTTGACATAGCGGCTCATTCTCATCCTGGATCAGCAAACATGCTACGGACTAAGCCAGGAGGACCCAAAGCTGCCCTTTTTGTTATCCTAGTATTCTTGATTCCACTTTTGTGCAATTGCCCTCTATTTGTGACAATTTCAGTTTTATTTCAGCTTCCAGCCTTATTTCATTTTGGATTTTAATAACTTGCAAATCTGTAACTAAATGGTTGGTATTGTACCACATTGAAAAAAAATTATTCATTGGTTTTACAATATTTTTTTTAAGGTAACTGGTAGAAAACTTTTTATGTGGCCTATGTTTAAACACTCAAATTAAGTTGAACATTACTAAATTTAATCTGTTTGTTTAAATTCAGTCCAAATCAATTGTTTGCTACCACTTACCTTAAAAAAAATTTGTAAACCCAATGAATCTTTTTTTTTCCAGTGCAGTTTTACTGGTCTTTGGGAAAGCTTTGTCTGAAAAATGATGCAAAATCTATTACTATGAATGATTTTAATACAGATGTTCATACAGGTGTTTTACCAGTATTTTAAACTTTACATGGTGCATTGTTAATGGAAATGTCAGTGAAATTATTGGATAATGTCCATATTTTGGGGATGTATTTGTCAGTCAAACCCGTTCTGTCGATTTGTCCTACCTTGTCAGATTGTCCTACCTCCCATTCAACAAGTAGGTAGCACATTTTGATGACGTAATATGCTACCCATCAGATTTTGCTACCAGTGTAAATTTTAATGTAGAGATATGAAGCTGTAATATCACCCTAACCTACCTAATCCCTAACCCCAACCTCAGAACTATTCAAATACAGCATAATTTGATGGGTAGAATAAAATGTCAGGACACCGGCCATCTTTCCACAACAGCTTAACACTCGTCTCTCTGTAAAGCGGCTCTCAGATTGCTCCAAAACTCATCTCTCTTGTCCTCATCCTCAGGCCACTCCAGATACGTCCTGGAGTTCATAATCTTTCTCAGCTTGCAGAAGCGTTTGGGAATCGTCTCCTTCTTTATTGGTTCCAGAAGCACCAGGACAGCGGAGTCATTGTGTTCATCCATGATGCGGAAATGTGAGAAGTCCAGCTCGTAACGGCACCATTCACTGCTCACAAAGTGCTCCGACAGAACAAAAAGAGTTCGATAGCTCTTTTCAATTGAGTCAATGATGTTGTCCACGATCCAGCGGCCCGGTCTGAAGTCCCGTTTGTGCAAACACAGGGAAAACGAAGGCTGAGTGTCTTCAAGCTCAGCAACAAGAATCTCCTCGACCCATTCAGCGTCATGTTGGCTGTAAGACACAAAAGCATCATAGCGGAGCTCTTCAGGTAATCGACCGACAGCAGGTTTCCGTTTGGCTTGTATCCATGCTTTAGTCATCTGCAGGTACCATATGACGTGAAGCTTGTGGCAGGTTAACACAACAAGACCGAGTGCTGTGATAATCCCAAAACAAAGCACTGAGACGGCAGGGATCATATAACACTCAAACACAGACAGTCTGACACTGTCAATCGCATTACCTCTGAGAGTGAAGGGAGTATTACATACGTAATTTTGACGGCCATCCTGTAGGGTGATCAAATCCTCAACGTCCTTTTTAAAGAAAGAAACAAACTTGCAGGAGCACACAAAATTGTTGGCACCTGCCTCCAAGTAAAGCAGAGTTTTAAAACTCCTCAAAGAGCTTTGGTTGAACATCCGTAAGGCGTTCCTTTGTATCAGCAATGTATTTAGGCTTGGGAATAATTTCCCATCTGGCAGTTTCATTAAGCGATTGCCTGTCAGTATAAGTGTAGTGAGATGAGGAAATCTTTGCTTGAACGCCTTAAGATCATTTTCGCTGAGATCCAGAACTGTCAAACTCGAAGGCAAGCAAGGAGTCAATGTGCTTAACTTTGTGCTTGAAAGGTTCAGAAACCTCAGAGTAACAGGCCAGCTACACTTTTCTGGCATTGAAACAAAACTGTTATAACTTAAGTCTAAATATTTGAGCTTTTTAAGATTGGTGACCAACCTAGACATCAGCCCGAGAGATTTTAAAACATTCTGACTCACATTGAGCATGTTGAGGTTTTGATATGCGCCAGATCCTGTATACAGTGTTGGTTGAATAGTCAAGTCTGTCAGGAGATTCTGGCTGAGGTCCATGTATTCTAGATTTTTCAACAGGAATGTGGTTTCCTTAGGAATCACAAACACTGTGGCATTGATCACAGACACGTTGTGGAAGTGCTTCAGTAGAAATCCCAACTCTATCATGCTGCTAAACCCAAAGAAACCTTCTATTTCAATATTACGCAAGTAGGCTGTGCGTAGGCTGTCATGATGTGTGTATTTAGCTTTCTGCCACTCTCCTATCCCAACAAATTGTATATCTTCAAGTCCAATAAAAGACAATGGAGAGCCATCCATGAACTCTAAAAAAGAGGTCAAGGCTTGATCGGTCGTGGAGGAGTTTTGGAAAGTCAGGCTCTTAGTGCCACCTTCCTTCACCATTTTGAAGGGTTCTGTAGATGTGTTTGTTTTCATAGTGACATCTTTGATTATCAGCAGAGTTTCAGGGTGGGAGACATCTTGAAGGACCTTGGAAACTAGTTCTGGATCACTCTCAAACAAATTCTGTAGACTCAAAGAGACTGAACCGATGGGACGAGCTGCTTTCAAGCTCCCGTTCTCATATGACCTCAGGTTACTGCCAAAAAATGTCATCTCGTCCAGATGAGTGAGCACATCTAGGCCATTCTTGTGTAGCTCTCTCAGTGAAGGACTACCTAAGTGAAGTGTCCTCAAGTTTACAAGAGACTTGAAGATTGGAGCAGGTCCCACAGTTGAGTATGGGTTTCCTACAAGGTTAAGTTGCTGGAGAGATTTTAACTTGTGAAACCAAGACGGAGAGAGATTGTTCAGGTTGTTTAAGGAGAGATCGAGAACTTCCAGGTTATGTTGGGACTTGAATGCATCCCTGTGTATATGCCTGAGTTTGTTCTTATGCAAGTTGAGGATTATCAGCTCATTGTAAGAGCTGAGATCAGTCATGTTGATTGACTCAATTTGATTGAAAGACAGGTCAAGGCCAAGCACATCTGATGGAACTGTTGGAACCTGATGGAGGTTGTTTGAGGAACAGTTGCAGAAATACATCTGATCACATTTACATGTCTGGGAGCACTCGAGACCTTGAGCCAGAATGAACATAATAAGGATTATGGCAGTCATTGTTCCTACGAGTCTCATCCTGCAAAAAAAGATAGACTTTATTTATTACATTTTTTTAACTAAAAATGGTACATTTTTTAATAAAGATAGTATAGTTTTATACAATACTATTATCTTTGCCATGTAAACAACAAAACTGTAACTACAGCACATATCCCATGTTCAGTCTGTAGGCATTAAAATGTCCATGACAATGAAAACAGTGCTATGGGTCAATCTTCTGAAATCATCTGAAAGCTGAATTTCAGTTTTCTATTGGTGTATGGTTTGTTAAGATGCACAATATTTTTCCGTGATAAAATTATTCGAACATCTATAATCCAATATTATTCCTTCATTTTCTTTTCGGCTTTGTCCCTTTATTAATCTGGGGTCAACACCAATGAACCGAATAGAATGTAATGTTCCGGCAACTTATCCAGCACATGTTTTACCCAGCGGATGCCAAGCTGCAACCCATCACTGAAAACTCTCTTACATTTTCATTCACACACATACACTACGGCCAGTTTAGCTTACCCAATTCACCTATAGCACATGTCTTCAGACTGTGAACTGGAGCACCCGGAGGAAACCCATGCCAATATGGGGGGAATCCTATATTATAATATTATAAAATATAAATGAACAATTGTGACCCATACAATGTACCGTAAAAGACTGGTTTTGTGGTCCAGTGTCAAAAGGCTAGTGCTTAACTAAACCAATGGCAGACAACAGAACAATGTTTTTCTTTATGAAGTGGCATTGCCTGGCATGGGGTGTGTGTGACAGCATTGGTTGTTGTCACAGATCTCTATGATTGTTCAGGGGTTTGTTGGTGACTGTTGGCATCTGTCACAGACTCTTTTTGCCAAAAATGCTGAAGTGATGTTTATCAGGGTGCAAAAGCAATTGTCTGCATTGGTTTGCATTTGTAAGTGTATTAAGATCAAGGATACATCCAACTGAATAAAATAAATATTGGAGGCATTTAAATCCTTACACAAAAGAATCCTGATTAAAAATGTGATTAATCATTCATTAATTTTTCTTCAGCTTTATTTATTAGGGGTCACCACAGCAGAATAAACTGCTAACTTATCCAGCCCATTTTACACAGTGGATGCTCTTCCAGCTGCAACCCAGTACTGGGAAACATCCATACGCACTCATTCACACACATACACTACGGTCAATTTGGTTTACTCAATTCAGCTATAGCGCATGTCTTTGGAGTGTGGGGGAAAACCGGAGCACCCGGAGGAAACCCACATGGGGAGAACATGCAAACACAGAAATGCTAACTCATACAGCCGGGACTCGAACCAGTGACCTTCTTAATGTGAGGTGACAGTGCTAACCACTGAGCCACCGTGTCGCCCCAGAATGTTATTAATTTCTGCAAAAATCTTAATCAGCTGTCAAAGTTAATAAGAAATGTTGCTTAAGCATCAAATCAGCATATTAAAATGATTATTGGAGAACCATGTGACACTAAAAACTGCTGTAAAAATGCTGAAAATTCAGCCTTGCCATCACATGAAGAAATATAATAGACACACAAGACGCAGCACATGAAACAGCTTCTATATGTCTGACTCAAAATGGTTAGTCAGTCAAATCAATGTACTCCCTTTATATCTACTGTATATCTAACCTCCAAATCACCTTCTGTCCAATCAGAAGCTTTCATTTACATATTAGTTCAACATAAGTTCACCCAAAACCTCTTAAGTGCCTCCAAAGCACTTTGAGTTTTTTTTATTCTGTTGAAGAAAACTGAAAACCAACTATTTACTTCCATGGAAAAATGAATACTATGGAAGTCAGCTGTTACTGTTTTCCTGCTTCCTTCAAAATATCTTCTATTGTGTTCATTAGAGAAAGAAACTCAACCATGTTTGAAACAAGTGAAGGACGAATTAATGATGACAGATCTTTTAGTTCTGGGTGAATTATCCCTTTACAGTACTTCTATTTCTATGTTTTCAAGATGCAAAAAATGAAATGTGATTACCTGACTGCCATTATTGTGTCTACTCCTCTTCTGTGTGTAAACTGCAGTTTAGCTGTAGACATAATAAAGGAAAACAAACAGGCAAACATCGTGAGTCACAGGAGGTAGTGAAACTAAATAGCTTGACTGATAGCCTGATTTAAAATGTCTTACTGGATGTTCCTTTTTTCCAGCACAATGCATTTTAGGGAACTATCCTTAATACTCAGTGTATGATTATGAGTATGAGTATGTTTTATATTTACATGCTGCACTGCAGTTGGGTAATCCTTTTTGTTTTTACACAGCATTTATGCAAATATTTTTGGGGTAGAACTATTTTAGATATGTGCATGTTTCTGCTTCACCAAACACTGCATTACAATTAGGGCTTTAAAAAGAGGAAGTTGGCCTTAAAGTAAGTCTTAAATTTGGCTTCACCACAATAAATCATCACTTCACGTCCTGTGGTTATTAGAGAACACACCCAGTGTTTCACACTAATTCTAGACTGACCGTTTGCAAATTTATTCCATGTAAGAGTCAGATGACAAAGACAAGAGTCTCTTTTAGAACTAAAAGCGACTCTTGTCAGGATAATGATGCTTTTATTCGAAGTGATGTACAAATGAGGATAATTAGAAGCACTTCAGGTCACCAGAGAGCAGCAATATACACTCATTGGCCACTTTATTAGGTACACCTTACTAGTACCCGGTTGGACCCTCTTTTGCCTTCAGAACTGCTTTAATACTTTGTGGCGGAGATTCAACAAGGTATTGGAAATAGATTGTCCAGGATACGAATCTTCCGTTCCACCACATCCCAAAGGTGCTCTATTGGATTGAGATATGGTGACTGTGGAGGCCATTTGAGTACAGTGAACTCATTGTCATGTTCAAGAAACCAGTCTGAGATAATTCGTGCTTTATGACATGGTGTGTTATCCTGCTGGAAGTAGCCATCAGAAGACGACTACACTGTGGTCATACAGAGATGGACATGATCAGCAACAATACTCAGGTAGGCTGTGGAGTTGACACGATTGGTACAAATAGGCCCAAAGTGTGCCTAGAGACTATCCCCCACACTATTACACCACCATCACCAGCCTGAACCGTTGATGCAAGGCAGGATGGATTAATGCTTTCATTTTGTTGATGCCAAATTCTGACCCTACCATCTACTTGTTGCAGCAGAAATCGAGACTCATCAGACCAGGCAACAATATTCCAATCTTCTATTGTGCAGTTTTGGTGAGCCTTTATAAATTGTATCCTCAGTTTTCTGTTTGTGGCTGACAGGAGAGGTACCCGGTGTGATCTTCTGCTGCTGTAGACCATCCGCCACAAGGTTGGCCGTGTTGTGTGTTCAGAGATGCTCTTCTGCAGTCCTCGGTTGTAGCAAGTGGTTATTTAAGTTTCTGTTGCCTTTCTATCAGCTGGAACACTCTGGCCATTCTCCTCTGATCTCTGGCATCAACAAGGCGTTTGCACCCACAGAACTGCCGCTCACTGGATATTTTCTTTTTTTCAGACCGTTCTCTGTAAACCCTAAAGATGGTTGTATGTGAAAATCCCAGTAGATCAGCAGTTTCTGAAATACTCAGATCAGGATACTCAGGATCTGCAATGTATAGTCAGAATTATAGTTGACCAGGATCCACAGTTACAGCCACAAATGCATGCGATTTATTGTTACACTTTTCAAAAGCTCCACAAATTTATCAAAAATTTAATAATTTGCATGTGTTTTTGAGGTCTGTGACTGTGTAAGCGTTCCAAGCCAAGCCAATTCCAAGCCAATTCTTCTTGGCACAAGAATTTATAATGCTTGTAATCTAAAGAAAGGTTAACGACCTACGGTGCTTTTTTTTATATCTGATAATTTCAGTTTATGTGTCTGAATACTTTTAGACTCCCAGAAAACAGTAAAGCTGTTTATTTTATTTGTATCTTTGCTACTGTATATATCAATGCTTGTGATTGATTTATTATATTTCATGCAGATGTACTGGTCTACAAAATCATTCCACTCAATCTTCAAATTCTTTTTAAATAGAACCATTCAAGTCATTTGAAACTATATTTAATATCGCAATATGCATCACAGAAAAATACAATATCGTAATGCCATTTTTTTTCAATATCATGCAGCCCTAATTTCAAGTTATTTGTGTGTGATTTGATTTTAGGCTTTGTGACAAATAACGTAATTATTTTAAAGGTCTATGATGTTTTTCTATAGGCACTGTTTATTTCCAACATGCACCCCCCACCCCCCAAAAAATGATGTTCGAATATGTAAATGCAATGAAGCGAAACACAAAGTTCTTTTTGTTATTATATGTAAACCTTTTCTGCGGTTCAATAAAACGGCTTAAAAATTATAACAATTAAGACTCCTGTGCAACATCCTGATAATTTTACAAATTTCAAAGGTTACACTTTACATTAAGGTTGTATTAGTTAACATTAGGGGTGACGCAGTGGCACAGTAGGCAGTGCTGTCACCTCACAGCAAGAAAGTCGCTGGTTTGAGCCTTGGCTGGGTCAGTTGCAGTTTCTGTGTGTAGTTTGCATGTTCTGCCTGCGTTCGCGTGGGTTTCCTCCGGGTGCTCCGTTTTCCCCCACAGCCTAAAGATATGTGGAATAGGTGAATTGGGTAGGCTAAATTGTCCGTAATGTATGAATGTGAATGAGTGTGTGTGTGGATGTTTCCCAGAGGTGGGTTGCAGCTTGAAGGGCATCCGCTGCGTAAAAACATGCTGGATGAGTTCGTGGTTCATTCCGCTGTGGCGACCCCAGATTAATAAAGGGACTAAGCTCAAAAGAAAAGGAATGAATGAACAGTTAACATTAGTTAATCTATGCATTAATATAAAAAAATAACAACACATTGCATTGAACAATGCAAATTAATCTTTGTTACTGTTAGTAAATATATATAGGCTAGTATTTCATAGTCATGTTTGTAGTCACAATGCATTAACTAAAGTACACTAGAATGAATTTGGGTTTTTAATAAGGCATTGGTACATGTTGATTTATGATTAATAAATGCTGTACACATATTGTTCATTATTAATTCATGTTAGTAAATGATATAGTACCTAAACTATCATTAATCAATTTGAAACTTTATTGTGGGTTTCATAAAGTCTTAGTTTCGGTTATAGTTGATTTTATAAAGTCTGGTTGAAAGTTATATCAAAACAGGCTGCTTACTTGAATGCAAAAATACAATATCCTGATAAGAGTGTTTTTATAGCAGAATATTAAATGTCAAGATCCTCATTTTGACCTCAGCAGTGAAAGACAATTTAAACTGCGAGAGTACATCTCCTCCCCTGTGTCACCAGTAAGTGACAGGTGAAAATAGGCATGATGAGGTTAGATATGAACAACTTCCTCAATTCACTCAGGACACACGCCGGCTACTTTCTATTCTGCTTCACTTGATTTGAACTGTTTACAGCACAGGAGCCTTTCAGTGTTGTTGCAATTTTAATAAGACGACAATGGGCTATATGCACGCATTACTTCCGCGTTTTGTCTAAGGCCGCGGTCCAGCTTCCGGTCTGGGTGATTTTAAGCGGAGGTAAACAGTATTATGGCAGAGTCGTCAATATTTACTCGCTGTTTGCGAGTAAATTATGGTCAACGATGTGCAAATGATTGTCCGGATGTGCTCTACAACACCGCAGAGCAAAGCTTGAGAAAGGTTTCAAGTTGTATGCATCTTCCTACCTGTGCAATTATGAAGGTAAGTTCAGCTAGCCTGAAGGCTAACTTTAGCGTTAATACTCTTACGATCCGTCCATCTGCAGCTTTATCACGTAAGTAAAAATAATCATATGTGTATGTAATTCTGACTCAAAGTGTCAGGTAAAAACAGGGCAGGAATAAGATCTCAGTGAGAGCTCATTACTACCGATAGGTCTATGAAGAAATCGGAGTCTCCTCACCAGCTGAGAGTAGGACAGCATACATGTGAAGTTCTGTCCCATTCATACTTTTACTGTTCTAAAGTGACCACCACTGTTCAGTTCGGATAATTACAGAAACACAGACGCTGTCTTAGCTTGTAAGCATGATTATTGAGCAAGATATATTAGGAATAAAATAATACAATGCCGTTCCATCCACAACAGACAAATAGCACTGTGTCAATGCTGAGATTTATTGCTGAAACAGTGGAGATGACAGATGTAGTGTAACAGTGTAGATAGCATGCTTTCTATTTAGTCGATAACATTGTAATTAAATGGGAGGGTGACCCAAAACAATAAGGTGTCATTAGTTAATTTCACATCAACAATTTGTCTATTGCAATATTTATTATTATTTATGTTAATGAACAAATGCTTATTCATTGTGCTTGTTAACTCACAATGTAATAGCTAATGTTAACAAGCATGACTTTGGATATTTATTCATTAGTAAATTAGTTTAACAATGCTAACTATTAAATATTAAATAGTTATTTTAAAAGTGAGCAAATACATTAATTAATGAAACCTTATTTTAAAGTGTGACTAAAGGGAGCTACTTTTAAATAATTTAAATTAATTATTTACTGTGTAGTTTAATCTGATGATATTGCTGCAGATGCCTTTAAAAAGAAGATATTTTGAAGAAAGCTGAAAACCTGTAACCATTGACTACCATAGTAGGAAAAATAACTACTATGAATATCAGTGGTTGCAAGTTTCCAGCTTTCTTCAAAGTATTTTTGTTTGTGTTAAACATCAGAAAGAAACTCAAACAGGTTTGGAACAAGTGAAGGATGAGGAAATAGAATTTTCAGTTTTGAGTGAACTGCCTTTAATGACTCACTTTAAAAACCTATTAATATTCTTGTTTCTGTTTTCTAGGTAACATTATGAGATTCAGAGCTAGAAAATTTTATGTGTTACTTCATCCTGGAGCGGACATCCGTCAGAAGATCCATGCCATCGTCTGCTAGTTAATAGCTCCTGCTCTTGTGTGGCTGAGAGTGGGATATGCAAACATTTGGTTGCTTTGCTTTTCCAGACAGTCCATTACTCTGAAATGTGTAATGTTTGTTGTCACATGAACAATTGTTTGGAATGGATCAATTATGTGTTAAGTTCCATGAAACAGAGGGGTGATTTATTTATTTATTTAATACGTATAAGCCCAAATACCTCTCTATGCACAAGTTACAGAAGAAGCACCTGATTCAAGAAAACAATTGATTCAATGTCATTTTTTTCTGTTCATCTGAATAAAATATTTTTTTCAAAATGTTACATTTTTTTTGACAGTTTTTATTTCAAATTATATACAGTGAATTATATTTTATATGTACAGTGAATAAAATAAAGGTCTTTATTCTGAATTAAAAAATTGCACTTAGAAAGTAGCTTAAGAAATGTTTATGTATATTAATGTTCTTTTTTTTACTTCAAAGGCAAGGAAAACAAACTATTATTTGCCATAAAAGCTCCTTTCTTTAAATGTCTGCATCCGGTTGGCACTCGAGCCTCGATCAGTTTTCTAGACTGAAATTGTCAGCTACACTCTTGTTTTTTTCTGTTTCTGTAAAATTCTCACGTTTAATATCAACAACCCACCTCTTCTGCACGACTTTGTCTTTTGGAAACGTGTGGAAACTAAGGTAAGAGTTCAATTTTTGACGCTGTGCGTTGCTGAACACAGCAGTGGTATCTACAAGTACTGTTCTCACGTCTTTGAAATGACACTTTTAAACGTTTAGATGTCATATTTATGTAGCTGACATAAACATATATAAGTGGGCTATAATGGCATAAAACATTAAGACAACTGTCCAAAACATTACTCGTTTTTATCAGAAGTGCTCCTGTTGTAGCACTGTACTGTACGATCGGCGGAAGTAGGCTCGGGGTCTTAAATTTTACCGGAAATGCGTCACGCGCCGCCGTGCATAGAGCCCATTATTGCAAGTCATGTTTTGTGTAAACAAAGTGGATGCATACAGAGAGGGCAAAACAACAGTATACAGCTTGTCAAAACCGGCATGGAAAGTTAAAACAGATGAAAGCAGCGAATATTTTGGTCATTGCGTGTGATAAATATTGAACTTACCACACGTTACCCTTCAAACGCGGGCGCTTTAAGTAGTTTGCGTAACCATATTTAAGTCCCGCCTCCAGACCAGCAGCCATTGGCTCAGCGTCTTCGTAAGCGGGTTTTAATTGGATGTTGAGCTGACAATTACTGAAACCAAACACAGCTGTAGAACCGGAGCATTTGTAAACACGGTGTGGTGTAGTGTCACAGCGAGTGTTGAGGGAATACTTACATTTCGAGACACGCATAGTAAGATTTTTGTAGTCCTTTGTTTGTTATGCAGCAGAAAACGTTTTAAATTAGGCCTAACATTATAGTGTATATTTGTGTGCTTGTGCAGACATGCCGACCTCCCCGGTGAAGACACGGATACCGCTGTAAAGTTTTGGCCATCTTGTAACCGAAGTAAAGGTAGACAAATCATAATATAACCAGTGGCTCCTTCAGATAATGTTCTTAGGGGTGGCCAAGTAAGGCCACACTAAATCTTGGGGTAGCACACAAAAAGTAATGAAATGTGTATATATTGTGAATAATGAGTAATGTTATATTTTTGTTTCTGGTAAATGAAATAATGAAGTTTAAGTTAATTCCATGAATTACTCTTGAAACATTGTAATTTATTCCTTGATATAATTCGGCAAGTACACGTGCAAACCAAATAAAAATCAATAGGTAAGTTATTTTTCACATACTTTCATTGTACAACATGCAATATACGCCATGTCTAAAATAATGAATGAATTAAGAAAACAAACAAATGAACAAAAGGCATTACTACATATATACACACACTTACTATACAGACCCTAATACTATCATTTATCCATGTTCCTTTTTGTCCACAGTATAATATAAAATGTATATTTTATATATATAATACATATTCGTCTATTGATGTGCCTTTTTGAAAGATACACCCACAAAATCATTGAGATTTTTGGCCCTTTTAAATCAACCAGCAAAATAACAGAGTTGCTAAATAAATTAGATACTGAAAAGCTGATTTCAAAATGCATATATATATATATATATATATATATATATATATATATATATATATATATATATATATATATATATGGATTTGTGGTTTACAATCAGATAAAACACAACTTTTTCATTTCAAAAATAATAATTTCTTAATAAAAAATTTGTGCAATCTCAGTGAATCAGCTACGTCGGTGGCACTGATCAATCCACAATAATTTAGTGGCTGCATTTTATTTACTAATTTATTTGTTTATTGATTGAAATATTGTGAATTTAAGTTAGTACATTTAAATTAATAACATCAACAACTAAATCTTATTGGGGTGGTCAGAGTTTACAAAAGGGTGCCCCTGAATATAACATCCTGTTACAATACAAAAATTAGATATAAGTGTAATAATTAAATTGTTAATTAAAATACATTTAAAAAATAGGCTACATTTTTAAAATAAATGTAAAATGTATCCTCCTGCTCTCAAAAACAGAGATTTAAAATCTAAGCCTGTATCAGAAAACTGGTGATGCCTAAATCTTATATAATTTTAACAGTTAATTAATTTAATTATTATTAATTTTTTATCATCATTTATTATTATTATTTGGATGCGCTAATATATTTTTTAACATTACAAATATTTTAGATTTGTATAGATTTATATAATTATAATTATAGATTTTTTATTACAAACAAACACATACATAATAAAAATGCTTCTCTTATGTTCATTGTTAGTCAAAGTATACACCTATAAGTATTAATAACAATTTAAGGTTTAAACAAGTGAAAAATAAAAGAAAACTTGCAAAAATAAAATATGAAATGTAAAGTGAATGTCAATGTGAACTAACAAAGATGAACACACAATATAAAACAATCTTCCCATATACTGTAGGGCAAAATGAGTTAACACTTAAAAAAGGAACATGCACTAGTTTTATATCCATCATGTGCTACAGAAGTGAGCCAAATGGATAGCCATTAGTCATTACTTTGTGTTATTTTGACATAGTTCAATTTCAAATAAGCCTAATAATCTTAACCCCCACTTAGACGATAAAACATCAAAAAATGAATGTTTTTGATATCATTTAATTAAATTTTTTTTTTATTTTATAATAAGAAGTCCTAAAATTTGGTGTAGTGAAGCCTACTTGTTGTGGCGTCAATTACGAGCATCAGTGTCTGAGTGGACGATGACGGTTTCTCCATTTCACAGTAATAAGGAACAGAAATGCAGTTTACAGTACAGTACTTTTCTTTGTATTTCCGTTACGTAAAATTGAAAGTTTCCTGAAATGGAAGTTCTCCAGTAAAATGTGGATACTTGGAAAGAACGAACAAAAACAGTTAATGTTAATTTACTAAGTTAATGTCCGCTGCTTATTATGTTTATGTACATATGGGTAAATGTTTTAATAATATTGTCAATTTATTAGTATTTTTGGGCCAGACTGTGATCCTAAATGTTTTTGTGATCTAAATATTTTTGGTTATATAAACTATTGTTAGTCCGATAGACATGTTTGTTTGGGGTTGTCTTTATTTCTGACTGGACACATTCTGATGTTTAAAAAACATTGAAATGAAGTCATCTTCGACTTATATACTGTTCTCAGCTTTTTGGACGTGGTGTAACAGTAAAATTCTTATATTTAGAAAAGTGTCTTTTCATGACAGAGACAGCTCTTTGGAATTGATTCGCCAACCCTGAAGGAACTGACAGGATGGAGGAAACATTTTAACAGCTACACCTTACAAGGACGCAGAAATGTATGATCATATTTTTGACATTCTTAAGAGCATGTCAGACTGCCGTATGATCAAAGACAACAGTAGACCATGTCTTCTGCTCACATCACTATGTATAATAATACGTCATTTTTTTTTCTCCCACTTATTCCCTTTTCCAGTTTGTTCTTGCCACATATGGCGTTCTTGCACTCACAGCTGCTGCCTTCATGCTGAGACGCAGCAGGAAGAAGGAGCATGAAACAGCATCTGCCTCCTCATGAACTGCAAATGGAAAGTTTTGAGGGTTAAGAATACAGTAAATTATTTATGATCGCTACATGTGTGGACCATGTTTAATGAAGCTTATGTTTCTACATATGCACCAGATGTGCATTTCTTTATCATGCACACTTTTTTAATTTAAAAATGGATTGGTTGCGCTTTAGTTTTGTGGCCCCATTTTGACATCCTGTTGACTATTTATATATATAAATTTGGTATCACTTTATTTTGATGGTCACTTTAACACATTTTGTTGAATTTAAGTTACATTGCATCTACATTCCAACTAATTCTCATTAGCATATAAGTAAGCTGTTAGGTTGGGGTTAGTGTAAGTTGACATGTACTTGCAAAGTTTCTTATAGTCAGTATCAGCAGATATTAAGCAGGCAGTCTACTAATACTCAAATGATAAGTAATTGGCGTGTAGTTGCAATGCAAATTTTAGTCAAAAAATGTGCGATAGGGACATTTATACAATTTAATTAGTATGAAAACTAATGAATTTTTTAAAGGGGTGTGTCCTCAAACTCCACCCCTTATCCTACACCTCATTGAAGGATAAGCAAATCATACTAAAATGTACCAATGAGATTGTACAAATTCACTGTATTGTAACTTACCTGTAAATGTGTTTTACAGTGGCGTTGCTCTACCGCAATTACATTTTACAGTAAAATAGCCTAACTGCAACTTCTTTTTATGGTAAAATGCCATTTTAATGATTTTTTTTGCAATAAAATTAGAAATTTAAATTTTTTTTTTAGAGTATTTTACTGTTATTTTTTATTTTTTTTACTCTAGCAGTACAAACCAAGTGGCCAGTTTTGTCTTAAACTACAGTAGCAGTACTTGATTATTTTGATTACAGTAGAATACCCCAAATTCCTAATATGCAGTAAGTTACTGTAAAAGTTTAAAATGACCCACAATGCAGTGCATATTACAGTGCTGAACTGTACTGAACTGAACTGGCTGTTTTTGCAGTAAATATCTGTAAAATTGCGACAAAGTCTGGCCAATAAAAGATTCTGTTGGTATGAAAACCTTGGATAAAAATATCACGGTATGACGGTATTGTGATTACTTCTCTCAAATATGTTCTTCAGGGTTCTGGGTGTTGAACACAAGATATTATATTGTAAAAAACATTTAAAATAATTTGGAGTAGTAAACATGTCAGGCTAAATAATTAAATCATTGACCTTGAAAAGGCATCTTTGGATATCTTTCTTTTCTTTGGATATAAAGTAAGTAAGCCGCTGCACCGTTCACGTGCATTGCACACAGGATGCACATAGCAGCATAGGATGTTGGTTTATAAGCGATTTGTTTCTCAAATGTTTGCTAAATCATGTGCTGACCAGTATCTTTTTATGTGAAGGGTCCTTTTCTACGGGAGATACCGTTGCCTTAAAAAACTAAATAAAGCAGTTGTTAAAAACACGTAAAAACAAAACAAAAAAATGATTACCTATGAGGTGCCGTATAGGATTTAAATCAATCTTTGCTTATCTACACATACATAAAACATGTGTATATACACCTATTAATTACTTGCATATACACCTATACTACTGGATGTTCAAAACAACATGGATGAAACTTGTGTATATACATATAAACTTGACGCATGAATACACCCACATACACACGCACATACATATAAACTCGATCCTCACATAAACACCCACATTAACACACGCACATACATATAAACTTGCTGCATGCAAACACACCTACACACACTCGCATATACATATAAACTCGATTCTCGCATAAATACCCACATTTACTACACATACATATAAACTCGCAGCATGCAAACACACCTATACATACTCGCATATACATATAAACTAGGTCTATGCATATACACCCTCAACAACACGCGCACATACACAAACTCACTGCATGCAAACACACCTACAACATCTCGCGCAAACACACAAAAAAATAAAATAAAAAAATTCACAAACATTTATCACGAATCTGGTTATTGCAAAGCTTATAAAATAGAAATAATGTGATTAATAGAGGGATTAAATATGTTAAATTATGAACATATGTTATATAAAATATTAGTATATATATGAATAGACTATTCAAAATAAGAAATATTTTTATTTAAAACCTTTTCATTTAATTAGGTAATTACATACACAAATATAAATGGACAGATAGAACCCTTAAAGGACGTTTGAAAAGCAACCAGAACTATAAATATAAATATATACTCAAACTAAACTCCTCTTTTCTATCGCAAATGTTAATGTAGCCTATAGTCTTCTTGTTTTGTTTTTTACATTTTTATAATTATTATGCTTTTTATATGTTTTTACAATGTGGGTGTCAAAATTGCAAGATTTTGGTCTCATTTTGATTGTTAATTATTCAGCATAGACAAAAAAAAAATAAAAAAAAAACGCTGATTAAAAGTCTCTGCTCATCATGTTGGTCAAGTTAACCCCCATGGAAAAGCTATATATATTATCTGGAAACTCCTTTTGTGTTTAATAACTACTACTTATATTTTTACAGCAGCTGGCATCCAGCATTTTGGTGCATTAGCCTGTTTATTGGTGACAGGAAAACCCACTTAAGTGCATTCCTGCCCCCTACTGGACATAAGTGTGTATCATAACCCTTGACGAATAGTGACACCAATAATAAAACAAACATAAAAAACTAATATTAGACAAACATATTTTATTCAAAATGATTACTTAAGCAACTTTATATTTATTAAACCATAATAACATTTCCAATCATTTAATTGCATAATAAACCTTTAATTTTGCAGGAGCATTCCTTTGCATTACCTTTTTATTTATTTATTATTTATAATTAGCATAATCTATTTTCATAATTCAACAGATGTAATTCCTCTATTAATCACATTATTTCTGTTTCTTAAGGTTTGCAATAACCTGATTCATGACAAATAATAATCTTGTTCATTACACTCAAAGGACTTTTACGTTGAAATGAAACGACTTCCTTTTAAAGTGAAATAACTTCCTTTTACTGTGAAAATTCATGCATACACACATATGGAATCACTTGCATATATGTATATACACAACTAACTGTATATATGTTTGTGAATTTTATTTTTTATGTTTGCACAAGTGTCATTTGGGTGTTTATGCACACATCAAGTTTATATTCTTATGTGAGAGTTTATGGTTGTATATGCATAGATCAAGTTTATATGTGTATGCGAGTGTGTATAGGTGTGTTTGCATGCAGCAAGTTTATATGTATGTGCGTGTGTTAATGTGGGTGTTTATGTGAGGATCGAGTTTATATATATGTGCGTGTGTATGTGGGTGTATTCATGCGTCAAGTTTATATGTATATACAAAAAGTTTCATCCATGTTGTTTTGAACATCCAGTAGTATAGGTGTTTATGCAAGTAATTTATAGGTGTATATACACGTGTTTTATGTATGTGTTGATAAGCAAAGTTTGATTTAAATCCTATACGGCACCTCATAATTACCTACACCTTAGAAACAGTATAACAGATTTTTTTTTTGCGGTTTTAAAACCTTGGCTTTTCCAAACCATGGTAAACTTTGAAAACGGTTATCGTCCCATGCCTATTGTTAATATGAATTTGAAAGAGTTACAAGCGGCTGTGAGATTGCATTGGTTATAACTTGTTTTGGTTTTGTTTTAAAACAGGGCACTTTATGTATGACATTATATTCTGGAGAATGTGCAAACATTTTCAAATATAAATTTGTGTAATCAGAAGTTCACCAGACATGTTTCCTTATTGTTTACTTCCGACATGCAAATTTGCGAGCATGTCATAACTCTTTAGAGTTTTAAGGTTGGGGTTAAAGTGTGGTCACGTTTACGGTTGGTCTGTGCAATTATGAGAGTGAAATCCTGACATTTCAACACACACTTGTGTGATCTGGAGTTTCACATGAGGGTCAAAAGTTCAATACAGAAATTTCACATGTGCTCAATCTGTCAACTAACTCTCATTAGAGTATTAGTGGAGGATTAGTTGACATTAAAAGTTAGGATTAAATGGATATTGCTCACCATTACTCACTTTTTACTCACCCTCAAGTGGTTTCAAACCTTTATAAAATTCTTTTTTTCTATTGAACACAAAAGAGTTAAAGATTGTTGGTAAATATTAGCCATTCATTTGGAAGTCATTATAACATTTTGTGTTTGACAGAAGAAAGAAACTCAAATAGATTTGGAACAAGTGAAGGGTAAGTAAAATATAACAGTTTAAAAAATTTTTGGTGAACCATTCCTTTAAGGGAGTGTTTCTCGACCACGTTCCTGGAGGACTACCAGCTCTGCACATTTTCCTTGTCGCCTTAACCAAAAACACCTGATTCGGATCATCAGCTCATTAGCAGAGACTGAAAGACCTGTAATGGGTGTGACAGACACCTAAAATATAGTGTTAGTGTTCCTCAGGAACGTGGTTGAGAAATACTGCTTCAAGGGATAGTTGTAATTACTGCTCTGTGCAATTTTACAATTTAAATAGTTAATTCACAAATTCACCTTATATTTTGCCTGAATTGAAGTTAGTTGTACAAATAAGTTGATTTATAAGAGCTGCTCTTTGTAAATTTGACTTATTTGAAAAATGGGCCTTTTTGCTTGTGAAATGTCACTAAAATTCACTAATGTACTTGAACACCACTTATAGTCAGCAGAGAGTGTCTGCTGTGGGACTATATTGATAAAACTTTTTTAAATATTAAGTAGAAAATCCATTAATTCTCTCATGACTGCTACTTCACTTGTGATTGCAGATTTTACATAATAGAAACTCTAAAGGTGACCTTCAGAATGCAGTGTTACCAAATGAAACAAGCTGTGATGAAAGAGTAGTAGCAACAGCTGAGCAAGAAATACGCACTGGTTTTGATTGGATGTTGTGATATGGGTGTGAACCAACACAGACTGTGAACATACACTGTAAAGACTGATGGGTTCCACACAATTTCTTCATGTAGTCCCAACACAAATTAAGTTAACTTAATTTTTTTAAACAAATTTAAGTGGATTGAACATAAAACAATTAAGTTGTCCCACCAAAAGACTCAAGAATTGTGTTGATTCATTTCATTTTAAATAAGTAGTTTTAAAATTTGTAGTCTTTCAATGCAAGATCCAGTTTTGACTTTCTGTTTAACTTTCATGAAATTACCTTTCTAAAGGGGACCATCAAAATAAAGTGGAACCAAAAGTCAGGATGAAACAGTAGTAGAAAAATATTGCAGTAAACTTCACATTATTGTTGATTATGCGGTTAAGATATTAAATTCACCTTTATTTGTATAGTGCTATTACAATGTAGATTGTGTCAAAGCAGCTTCACATAGAAAAATGAAGATATGGTTGTGGATGAATAGAATGACAAAAAAAAAAGTGTTGCATGCAGAACTGTTGCAAACTATTTATTTGTGTTGAATTTAAACAAAAGAATTAAATTGAATAATGTTCAACTTAATTTGTTTGTTTAAATTCAGCCCAAAACAAATTGTTTACAACCACTTAAAGTGAAAAAAATTTGTAAATCCAAGGAATCGTCTTTGAATATTTTATTTTTTTTGGTGTGTGTGTAGAAGGTCCAGTTTTGTCATTCTGTTTAATATTATGAAATCACCATCAAAATAAAGTGTAACCAAAAGTCATGATGAAACAGTAGCAAAAGATTGTTGTAAACTGCACAATATTGTTGATTGATGAAATATGGTTGTGGATGAACAGAATTACACTCTCAGAAATAAAGGTATGTGAGCTGTCAATGGGGTGGTACCTCTTTATAAGGTACACATTTTTACCTGAAGGGTCGATATTGGTACCTTAAAAGTATAAATTAGTACCTAAAACATTTAAGAGGAACACTTTTGTAGTTTTTAGGTACCCTTGAAGAATTAATATGGACCTTTAAGGTACAAACTTGTACCTTTGGAAACGATACTACCCCAGTGACAGCTCGTGTACCTTTATTTCTGAGAGTGCACCAACTAGAAGGTCCAGTTTTGACATTCTGCTTAAATGTCATTAAATCACCATCAAAATAAAGTGGAACCAAATCTTGTGATGAAACTGTAGCAAAATGTTGCTGTTAACTGGACATCATTGTTGATTGTGTTGTGATATGATTGTGGATGAACAGAATGGCATTCTGCTTAAATATCATGAAATCACCATCAAAATAAAGTGTAACCAAAAGCCGTGTAAAACAGTATCAACATGTTGGCGTTAACTGCACATTATTGTTGATTGTATGTTGAGATATCCACTGTAAAACCCAACAGTCAGCTTTATCAAATGAAATGAGTGTTGTTAACTCAAAATTGACTAAAAGTTAATTCTACTCATTTGAACTCAGTATTGAAGAGTTAATTAAATACCTCATTAATTTAACTTAAATGGAGTAAGTTCACAGTACCCATATAGATTGTTTTTTTTACTCAAATGGTTTGTTGCAATTGGTTTTCTTTAAATGGTTTGAGTTGCCTTAACTCATTTTACAGTACTCAGTTGGTTTGAGTTCTCTTCATGTATTGGGTTTTATTGTGCTTAAATTGCTTTGCTTACTCAAGTGGATTAAGTTAACAGTTTTTTTTTAGCTATAATGGTTTGTTGCAATCAGTTTCCTCAAACGGTTTGAGTTACCTTAACTTTATGGGTTTTACAGTGTGATTGTGGATGAACAGAATGACAAACTAGAAGGTCCAGTTTTGACATTCTGCTTAAATATCATGAAATCACCATCAAAATAAAGTGTAACCAAAAGCTGTGATGAAACAGCAACATGTTGGCGTTAACTGCACATCATTGTTGATTGTATGTTGAGATAAGATTGTGGATGAATCAACTAGAAGGTCCAGTTTTGACATTGTGATTAAAAATCATGATGTCACTTTTAAAATATGAAATGCAAATGGATAAAGATTTATAAACAGCATATTTTTTTAGAGGATTTATTGTTTTGAATGGTTGTTGTTTTAACTCCTTGTAGAGATTAGCCAGTAGAGTGCAGTGTGAGCTTAGTGTGAAGTCCATTTCTTGGAAGAGCTTTGTTTTATAAGGCAAATTAGGTGGTTCTTTTAACAGCTGTGGGTTTTAGGTTAGTGAAACTATAGCAGTGCAGATGGGAAGCTTTCCTGTAAATGGAAATGCTCAGAAATGATTTCAGAAATAATGGTGCTGTTGTAATATGTTATTCTGCTTTTTGTTTCGGGCTGATTAGTTTATCACGATCGCATCATTCTGAAAGTGAATGTTGAATTAGAGCAATTATTTAGAAGTGTCCACCAGTCTCCATTATTATGCCAATCAACACATGACTGTCGACTACCCATTTCCTTTAACAATCCAATTTCTTCAAAACTCTTTTACACTAAATGATAAACTCTGTAAGAGATCCTTGGTTGATTCCACCCAAATTTGGTGGAAACCCAAATACTGGGTTAAAGTTTTATTTAAAATTGTTTAAATGTAACCAAATGATTGGATTTGTCCACATTTGACCCAAATTAGCTGGAAATTTAGCATTTTAGAGTGATACACAAATTTTATTCTCATCTGCAGGTTACATTTGAAAGTATTTGCACACGAATGTGATGCATCCTTGTACAGGGGTCAACTATAAGCGAAACTGAAATGAAAAAGCACCTGTATACAGGTCTGTGGTGGTTTGTGGTGTGCTTTTTTTATGAAAAGACAGATCTCAATTACACCAGCTATAGTGGATTCTCTTTAGGTGGATGTGTAGGGGCTTTGCAACAACAGCCTGTTGGTTTCAGTTTCTTGTGGATTTTGAGGTTCATCTCAAACTGGAATCTCCTCCAAGTGGAAACTCGTTGAATTCTGCAGTAAAGTGCAAGGTATTTTTTCCATGAAAATCATAGCATTTTTTGTTTTGTTTTTGTTGTTTAAATTATAATTAGTAATGTTTAATTGATTAATTATTAATAATATTTAAAGCAAACACGTATTTGGTAAATATATTTGAATTTTCTTATGCAAAACAAATTACCTAAACTTTATAAAATCCCTAAAAATGTCAGATGTTTTTAGAGATGGTATGATTAATGATCTTAAAAGCATCTAAGGAATGAAATGTTACCTCGCAGCATCTGTTTACAGTCATAACTGTATGCATAATTGACCATAATGTTTATTTATTTATTATTACTAATAATTTAACTTCAGGATTGTATATATGGATGCTTTCATCATGACTGCAACCAACATTTAAAGCTTGTTTTCCTTATTCAAATATTTTCAAAGGGCTTTATTTAAAAATATTTAAGAATTCAATGTGCAAGTTACAACAAAAAGAAGACATTATTTATAATTATTCTTATTTAAATCTTACTGGAGCATAAATGATGATCGGTTGTTATATTTATGGTTTGGATCTTGCAGTTTTCAATACTCAAGATATTTTGTTCATTCAAGAATCATGTTTCTCATGTGCATTAGCACGCCTTTGTGTTTTATAGATTTGTAGCTTATTTTAATCCATCTTTTATGATTAAATATAAAACTCTGTTAATAGTTAACCTGTTGTAATGCGAGATGAGTTGAGAAAGATCACGTGATTTAAAGTAAAAGCGCTCCAAAAGCGAAAGCGAAACTATTCTGTTCACAAACCGTCAGGCTAAATAATAATAATAATCCACATCTGAAGTGCATTATAGCGGGTACACCGCAACCACTTGCGTATAACAGGGGTTTAGATATTTTATTTAGATCCACGCCATTTTGAAATTTACAGTTGCACATGATGAGAGCGCTGAGAGCCAACATCCACATTCATTCCCAAATCTAGGATTTCACTTGACGCGTTGCGCTTTGGATGAACGGTGGATGTACGGTAAATAAGATGCTAGTCGCGTTCATGGATAGGGAGACAAGCTTCCTCCATCCAGACTCTTGACAGTTCTTGGAAAACAAAGGCTATTCCACATGAGAGACCGCCTTTTATTCAGAACTTTCGCTTTCTGTTATAATGGTCAGCCTATTCGCTACCAAAAATGAAGCATCGCAGGAACTCTTGTGACAGTCGTGGAGAAGTTTGGCTTAGTCAACATCAAACTACATTTGCGGTAAGTTGGCGAGTGCTTTTTTGATCTGAGACCAGACTGGAGGTGTTTCTGTCACCTTTAATTTCACCGTGACGTTATTCCAGTATGACACCGCTTTATGATAGCCTTCTCACTGGAGCCCCAAGGCTTATTTCGAGATGAGAGTGTGACAGACATTGAATATTGAAATTGTTTTGCTTGATTCACAGGAGAAACGATTTCATTTTATTTGATGTGTGTCATGATGTTTTCGTGTAAACATACGTGCTGATATATCTGAGGGAAGGCAACGGTGCTTCACTTTTTTTCTGCTAACAGTTTAATCCAAGGCGTTTGTCTAGAAAGTGCCATTCAATTAATTTTTAGAGCCAACCAACTTAGGATAGTTTTGTGCGTTGGATGTGCTTAAAATACATGATCTGTTATTTTTTAAAGCTAAAAATGGCTTGTAAAACTCGTGCTAAGTTATTCTAAATAACATTGAGTTTTACATTTGCATTGTACATCCAACCACTTAGCAGACACTTTTATACAAATCGACTTACAAATCAGTCCACAGCAACTTGTAGCTTGTGGCTATAGGCTATATGAGGTTTTATAACCTCATGGTTTCCTAATGTTTCTTCACTAAAATTATATTATAAATAGTTTGTTCCAATTTATTCCTATAAAAATATATAGTTCAGCAAAAGAGCATCTAGTAAAAAGTGTGAAAATGCTTTCACTTTGAGTAGTCTACGTAATTAGTTGTCACCGTTGAATTATTTTAAAAAATTGTATCTGTAAAATTTAATTTTCATTTTTATAACAATTACCTGTGTATAATATGTGTTTTCAAACATGTTTTATGATATTATTTTAACATTTAAACTTAATTTTTAACATACTTTTCTTGATAAATGTTGACTTCCTTTACAGGGACAGATCGGATTTCCATAACTCTGACTTTTACTACATGGGCAGAAATAAACATTAATATATTATTATTAATATTATTAACAATAATAATATACACTACCGGTCAAAGGTTTTGGGTCAGTTCTTTCATTTTTTTTAGAAAATGATTTTGTTCATCAAGGCAGCATTTAATAAATGTAAAAAAAAAAAAGTTAAAAATTTATAAAAATTTTAAATAACTGATTTCTTATTGTATGTAGTTTCAAATTATATTATTACTCCAGTCATTATTGATTTTATTACTGTTACCATTAATAATAATAATAATAATCATAATAATCATAATAACCATAATCATAATAATTATAATAATAATCATAATAATAATATTAGAGTGATTGATCTGAAGGATCAAGTGACTCTGAAGACTGGAGTAATGAAGCTGAAAATTCATCATTAAAATCACTGGGATAAATTAAAAAAATGTAATTATTTGAGCAGTTATTTTATACTGCAATAACATTTCACAATTTTACAATTTGTACTGTATTTTTGATTAAATAAATGCAGCTTTGGTGAGCAGGAGAAGCTTATTTTAAAACATTTAATATTCAGACTGACTCCAAACTTTTGACCCGGAGTGTAAATATGAAAGTTATCGGCAAATGAATGAACAAATTATTTTAGGTAATTTTTGTTAAAAAATATTTTTGTAATATTTCTAGTATTTTTGCTGTTGTTATTTGTATTAATAATCATTATAATACTAAAATCTTTTTTCTTTTTCATTTTTTGAGTGTCATCTTCATACACTGGAAAAATATCTGTAAATTAGCAGTTACAGCGTTAGTTTCCGTATTTTGTCATTCATGTTTTAATTTTTCCCTGTTTATTTATGCTTTTAAATTGCATTACAGGATCTTAATCTTTCTTCCAGAAACTTTTAACCTTGAAAAGTTAAAAAAACAAAAGTTTTATTAACATTTTTAAAAGTTTTAAAAGTGAAATATTGTCTGGGTTTGTGTTGTATATTTCAGTTCAGTACATTTTCTGTTACTTTACAGACTTATTTCAGTATATTTTTATAGTATTTTTTATAAATTTATATTATTTCAAACAACTAAAATAAAAGTCACTTTATTAAACTGTAAAGTTGAATTTTCAACATCAAAAGTTGAGAAGAAGAGATCAACATCCCATAAAGCGATTTACAATCATAAATAAACAGAAAACCCTTGAATCACAACATACGGAAACTGTTAATTAACAGACATTATTTACAGTGTAGAAAAGGAGACTCTTTGCCTTTTTAAAAAATGTTTACTGTAATATAATACAAAATAAATGATTAGTATTCATTTATGAATTAATAGTAATAATATTAATTAATTATTTTAATAAATTAATAGTACTAGTCATTAATAATACTACTAATACTAACCTTTTTTGATCATCATCCCAATATAAATAGACCTTTTCGCTATAAAAAAAATGACAATTTGTGCACACTTAAAATCATCTGTACTGTCTTCGATCAGAGCTTTTATCTGATGTTTCAAACTCTTTGTCCTTTTTACACACAGTCTGCACAGAATCAATCGTCTATGCTTTAAGATCATGGAGGAATGTCATGAGTGGGCTTCAGTTCAGAATGGTCCATCACAATGACAACGGCCATACAAATGCACCACCCAAATCCGCAGAGCCTCCGAAACCCTGCTCCGTCCCACCAACACACTTTCACCCTTTCCGGGACCAGCAGGAATGCAATCTTATCAAACAGGCTGTGGTTTACTTGACTCACAGTGGATTTTACTGGGGCCCTTTGGATGTGGACGAAGCTCATGCGAGACTGGCGAATCTTCCCCTTGGGACGTTCCTGATTCGGGACAGCATGCAGGCCAACGTTTTCTTCACGCTCAGCTATCGGGCTCCTGAAGGCCCGACCAGTGTTCGAGTGCTGCTGAAGAACGAAAGCTTCAGTTTAGCAGGTAGCAAACACACTTTTTCATGCATTTTTGGACTGCTTGGATACTACATCGCATCTCCGAAAAAAAGTTTGAGCAGGCCGTATCGAGGGGATGTCCCGCAAACCCTACAGGAACTTGCAAGACGGGCTGTAGTGCAGAGTTTTGGGAAAGATAGTATTCCACATTTGCCTGTGAGCAAAAAACTTAAGGAATTTATATGGTTGTACCCTTTTAGCATATGAATGTGTGTGTTGTTTATGCAGTATGAAGATCCTGAAGTTACTTGCAGCTCTTGATCATTTCATAGGATTCTGCAATGAACTAAAAACATGTATTTATGTCCGTCATGATCGTTTGAACTATTCTATGATTTAACACAAGAAAGCACTACAAAACGGTTTGATCCGACATACACAGAAAGGTTAGCACAATTGGACTTTGATTGCTTTAAAGGGATAGTTCATTTAAAAGTGGAAATTTTGTCATTTACTCACTCTCAAGTTGATTCAACCCTGTGTTTTTTTATTCTGATGAACAAAATTAAGATATATTTAAAAATGCTGGAAACCTGTAACCCTGACATGCTTAATAGAAAAGAAAATTCCACCAAAGTCAATGTTTATAGTATTTTTTAGGGTCCATGGTTACAGCATGGTTATCTGCATTCTTAAAACTCAATTGTAAGTCAATGTCAAGCTGGTTTGACACTCAATTGTAATTCAAAGTCAAGCTGGTTTAACACTCAATTGTAACTCAAAGTCAAGCTGGTTTAAAACCCGATTGTAACTCAAAGTCAGGCTGGTTTGAACCTCGGTTGTAAATCAAAGTCAAGCTGGTTTGACACTCAATTGTAATTCAAAGTCAAGCTGGTTTGACACTCAATTGTAATTCAAAGTCAAGCTGGTTTTAAACTCGGTTGTAACTCAAAGTCAAGCTGGTTTGACACTCGATTGTAACTCAAAGTCAAGCTGGTTTGACACTCAATTGTAACTCAAAGTCAAGCTGGTTTGACACTCAATTGTAACTCAAAGTCAAGCTGGTTTTAAACTCGGTTGTAACTCAAAGTCAAGCTGGTTTAAAACCCGATTGTAACTCAAAGTCAGGCTGGTTTGAACCTCAGTTGTAACTCAAAGTCAAGCTGGTTTAACACTCAATTGTAATTCAAAGTCAAGCTGGTTTAAAACTTGATTGTAACTCAAAGTCAAGCTGGTTTAAAACCCGATTGTAAGTCAAAGTAAAGAAGGTTTGAAACTCAATTGTAAGTCAAAGTAAAGCAGGTTTGAAACTCAATTGTAAGTCAAAGTAAAGCAGGTTTGAAACTTATTTATAACTCAAAGTCAAACTAAATGACTAACCCTTTTAGCATATGAATGTGTGTGTTGTTTATGCAGTATGTGTAAATGAGACTACTTGAGTTTAAGTAAAGCCTGTTGCACACTGCAAGCGCAAACAGTGCGTGAGCAGAGCGTGTTTTTTTGGTGTCCTTGTTAACAGAGTAGCGCTTTCATATTGCACACAGAAGCAGCACATCAGCGCGAAGCCTGAACATCGCAGAAGTCAATGTCATGCTGGTTTGAAACTCGACAGTAACTCAAAGTTAAGCTGGTTTGAAACCCGATTGTAACTCAAAGTCAAGCCGGTTTAAAACTTGTTTGTAAGTCAAAGTTAAGCTTATTTGAAACTCAATTGAAAGTCATAGTTAAGCTGGTTTGAAACTCAATTTTAAGTCAAATGCTTCTGCTCTACATACACACTGCGCCTGCACTGCTTGCACTTGCAGTGAGAAACAGCCATTAACAATGACCAAATTGTGATTTTTGAGTGAACTATCCTTTTAATAGAGTCATGCTGGTACTTTTTAGATTCTATGATGGATCTAACAACTTGGTTACATTTGAATGGTATTGTCTGTCTTTCTGAATGTAAACCACTGTCCACATGGCACTGCTGTTGATATCAGTATCATCTTTTCAGTTATTTTATAGTGGTACGTTGTATGTATTGGATGTATTACATATTAAGATGTTCTTAGTAGAAATATGCATTTCAGAAAGTGAGACTTAAAATGTTTTTGTTCACAATTGTTTTTTTTAATAAAGATAAATTATTTGATGTCTGATAGAGTCGATTAGCTGTCTCCGCTCTTGATTTCTCTTTCACTTCATTATCTTGTAATGTAATCCAACACAAAAAAAATAAACAAACCTTTATTTTGACTTCACACAAACGGCCCCATCTAGGGGAAGATATGAGCTACATGCAACATTCTCTTACTCATACATATTTGAACTCTTTATCGTTTTACTTGATAATAATAATGAAGCGGGCGGATGTTACATTTTAAATCTGACCATTTCTCTGGGAATTCCTGTTTTAACTCTATGTTGGTCACAAACCTCACATCTGTACTGTATACACACCACTGTTCCTATAGAAATCACATCCGCTGGCACAAAGACAGGAACATGTTTCTCTTCCTCCACATTAAAGTATTCCTCTGACAATTATATGGTCGGATAAAACAGGAAGGTGTGTTTTGTTCTTGCTTTTCAAGATGTTATTGGTTAAAAAAGGAAAAGAAAATGAAAGATGATCTCTGCAGTGCAGAAAAACCTGAAACAAAGACATCCATTGTAACTGTACTGTACAGGATACCTTGCATACCTCAGCATTTTGTTGCATGTTACATGCACTGTAAAAGATGGTATGACAAGAAGTCATGACTAGGAATGTTTTTATGTTACTGTAACTTAAGTTAATCAGGTTACAACTACATTTTTTTAAGCTATGTAAAGTTTAACTTTATATTTTTAGTCAGTTTACATAAGTTGAGATGACTAGAAAAGCTAATTTGGCTCAACTAAAACAATTAAGACAGCAATCATTTTTTAAAAGTGTGTAATTAACTATAGTAATAACATTGCACATGATGCACACACACATTTGTTTTTGTGAAATCTGGGGACATTCCATCGTTTTCCATTGTTTTTGCTGTACAAACTGTATTTTCTATTGCCCTAACCCCATCCTATCCCTAAACTGTACACTTTTACTTTATGAAAAAAATATTTTGGTGCGATTTATAAGCTTTTTGAGAAATGTCATCATATATCAGCAATGTCATCATATTTCACCACCTTTTTGTAATACATGTCAAACATCAAAACAAATAGTGTCTGTTTCTAATTTAGCTTTAAATTAGTTTTTTTTGTTGTTGTTGCTTAATATGTCAGCAAAAAATAATGACTCGTACATTTTGACCATGATTTACCATGTCATTCAGTTATTTTACACACGCACACACACACACACACACACACACACACACACACATATATACGAATATCTTCTTCTTTGGCCTTAGTCCCGTATGGTTGCGGGGTCGGCTCTTTGGAACAAGTCCTCCATTTAGACTTGTCCATATGATAAGGACTTTTTTTACACAATCCAGCCGGCCTGTCGTCTGGGCCTGTCACCCTCATACACTCATACACTACGGACAATTTAGCCTACCCAATTCACCTGCAGCATGTCTTTGGACTGAGGGGGAAACCGGAGCACCCGGAGGAAACCCACGCAAATGCAGGGAGAACATGCAAACTCCTCACAGAAATGCCAGCTGAGCCGAGGTTCACACACACACATAAAAATATGCCATTTTATGACAACATGAAAACATTTGGTCACAAAGTACTAATTATCCTTAATAATATACTTTATACTAAAATTATAGTAAAACTACAGTTTAAGTAAGTTGTTTCAGGAGTGCACAAATATATTGGTAGGGCTACATGGAATTTGTGTGCCACATGGAATTCCATAGACTTTTAGCCCATCTGAGTCTATTTATTTACTTGTGTAAATGCATATTTATGCAGGTTATAAAATTTCAGTCTAATATAAAAATGTTCATGTGATTTATTTACAAAACAGTTCATAAAGTCTTTTAGTAGATATATTATGTTAGAGACTTGCTTTGTTTACCAAATAAGTGGATCTATTGGATTTGCATTGTAAACATTACAGAAAAGTAAAAAATGTATCATTTTTATTTCATATATAAAGTTTTTAGATACTCCCATAATCATTCTGCATACATCTGATTTTTACAGAATTCTGCGCAGAAATAGCAAAAAATGTTCGCAGATTCTGTCTGGCCCTACACAGAAGATATTTTGATTTTATATTCACACATTTGATTTAATATTATGAAATATCAAAGGTTTTGAAAATTTTGCTAATGCCAGTGAAAGGATCAGGAATATCTCAACCTAAATATTCCCTCCTCCTGAAGAAAAAAAGTCTCTCGTGATTCTTCCAGCATCTGACCATCGGAAACCCGTCGCTCGTCAAAAACCAATTTACTGAGCAGCAATTTTACAACAGGCCCGGCCAGGCATTTCAATGAGCTTTACCTTTGTGTTGACTGCAACCGCTGTCACTGGCCAATGTATTTTATTTCTGCATGCCTTGGCATCACTTCTCCATTCAGATCCATTAATCAGGGAGTCCTTTAACAAAACTGCCTTTGTGTAGTGTGTTTTTTCTGCACTTATTAAACCTGAAAGACAGAGAGAGAGCAAGATTAACTCTTGAATGCTTAAAATAGCATTTCCGTCATGCATAAAAACACACTTTTGTCATATTGAAAAAAAATGACTGTCAGCATTCATATTTTAATTTTAATTCTTGACATGGTCCGTCTCTTCTTTTTACTATCAGATCATTATGTAGCACTGAAACGGTGTGATCTGTTGTTGAGTTTACAAGTGAAACAAAGATAGTCACTGAGAAAAAGAATGCAGAGGGTTGATTTTATCCACCGACTGAACCATGACTGAACATCACATACAGGTATGTGAAGTCAGATGACAGAAGGGAAGAGAATAAAAAGTAAAAGTGATCTGTGAAAAGAGAAGTAATGTAGACGAAAAAAACCACAGAATTTGAAGACACATTTTTATTTGAATTCATATGATTTACACTACCTGACACAAGTCTTGATCGTCGAACCAAATTGTAAGAGCAACAAATAATTACTTGACTTCTAGTTGATCATTTGGAAAAGTGGAAACTTATTGGAACCCACATAGACCCAAGATTCTCACAGTTATCAGTCAAGTTTGGTAAAGGAAAAATCATGGTTTGGGGTTACATTTAGTATAGGGAGATGATCTGCAGAGTGGATGGCAACATCAGCAGTCTGAGGTATCAAGACATTTGTGCTGCCCATTACATTACAAACCACAAGAGAGGGCAAATTATTCAGCAGGATAGCAATCCTTCTTATACAAAGAAGTCAAGGTGCTTCAGGATTGGACAGCCCAGTCTCCAGAATGAACATTATTGAGCATGTCTGGGGTAAGATGAAGAAGAAGGCATTGAAGATGAATCTGGGAGTCCTGCAAGTACTCTTTCTTTGGCATCCCAGGTGACTTTATTAATAAGTGATTTGAGTCATTGCAGAGATGTATGGATGCAGTCCTCCAAGCTCATGGGAGTCATACACAATATTAATTCTTTTCCCACTGCACCATGACTTTATATATTCTATACCGTACATTATTTCTGTTAAGTGACAGGACTTTTGTCTAAGCAAAGTCAGACATTACTGTCCTAATTAAATGATGAAAAATCAATTCATGATCATATTTTATTTTGGTAAAATAAGCGTAATCTAGAGGCCTTTGCCTTTCATATAAGCCATTTCTGATACCAAATGATCAACTAGAAGTCAAGTTATTATTTGTTGTTCCTAAAACTTGGACAGGCGACAAGACTTTCGTCAGGTAGTGTAGAATTTAATTTACCATCTTGTTTTCGAGGGGGTCCCACAGTAAATCTCAATCTTAAAATAAAATAAATTTTATTTAAAATAAAATATAAGGAAACAAAACTGAACAAAATGCAAATGAGCATAACATTACACATTAACAAAACACAAACATTATATGAGAAAAAAGAAAAAAAACTGCAATCACAGTTAGGACTTTAAGGAGCATGCAAAGTTAGGAGCATGCTTTTCACTTTTGAAAGGTGTTTTTTTTTCTTAAAACTTGTAATCTTTGCTAACTGAATATCCAGAAATGCAATATGCATTAATATTTTTAATTATGAAAACAAAAAATAATATTCTTTTAGTATTTAATTAATAATGCCAAGTGAAAATGCTAAAAATTTACCACAAAATCTGAGTGTTTGTTTCGTTTACTTCGGTGACTGCAAAATGAAAGCATTTAGCTGTAGTATTATATTAAATAATATTATTTTAAATTTTAATTATTACTAAATAATAATTTTAATGCAATATTAATAAATAAATAATTGGTAAAATATAAAAAATGTGATATAATATAATATGATAATACATTAACATATAATAATAAATTATAATATAATATAACATAATATTTATTTTCTTTTTGGCTTAATCTTTTTATTCATCAGTGGTCGCCACAGCAGAATGAACCACCAACTTATTCAACATATGTTTTTACACAGTGGATGCCCTTCCAGTTGCAACCCATCACTGGGAAACATCCTAACACACTCCTTCACAAATACACTGACAATTTAGCTTACTCAATTGACCTATAACGCATGTCTTTGGATTTGTGGAGGAAACCAGAGAACCCGGAGGAAACCCACGCCAACACGGAGAGAACATTTTCCACACAAATGCCAACTGGGTCAGCTGAGGCTCCAACCAGCAACCTTCTTGCTATGAGGCAAAACTCCTACCCACTGTGCCACCGTGTCCCCTCAATATAATATAATATAATATAATATAATATAATATAATATAATATAATATAATATAATATAATATAATATAATATAATATACTATAATATAATATAATATAATATAATATAATATAATATAATATAATATATAAGGCATTACAAAATGAAAATATCTATTCAGAATTTTGTTTCTTTATCCGCTTATCTAATAAAACTGCAATTGAATGTAGTGTTGGAGTAATTGCGGCATTTCTTTTTTACAAGTTGCTTCAGATAAAAGTGTCTGCAAAATGCATAAATGTAAATGTGTTTGTTGTAAGTGGGAGTGTGTTTAAACAAATGCCCACGTGGGTTGCACATTATATTTTTAATCAGAAGCGTGTAAAAGGGAGTTGCTTACATTTTCTCAGCTCTTTGGCAATGAATGATGAAACATCTTTGATTTATACCTCCCACAATCACTGCTAAAGACACACTAAACTGATAAAACCTGTTATATCTCTTTGTATTATCTTCCCTTTCCCCCGCCTTTAATCCCTATGGGAAAAGAAAACAAGACGTATCAGCCGCATGTTCTGATAGTAAGCAGCTGGTTTTTTGGGGGTTCAGGAAAGTTCAAAGAGTTATTTATACTGTACATGAGCAATATCACACTCATAGCAGTGCGATATGGCTAGATATTGGCACTGGTGGGAGGCGTGCAATGGCACGAGGCCACAGGCCGAGCCCCCAGTCCCGCCACCAGTGACGATATACAGCCACATTGCACTGCTTTGAGTCTCATAATCCTTTTGTAAGAGAAACCAACTTCTTCTGACATTCATTCACATCTGCAGCTGACGGTCAGAACAGCAGAAACCGTCGCTGCTTCACCAACATCACTTTTAGCTAGTATTTGAATGATTCTCTAGCGTTATGTCTAAAGTGATGACAAAACAGGTGATTTTGCTGACATTTTAAGATTATAAGGCTAAACGGCTTGAATGCCATCAGTCTACAGAGATTTCTTACTATTTCTCTGTTTTAATCGGGAGATCACAATAATTAACCGCAAAAACAGCCAAAGCAGTAAACAGTATACACAGTAAGCATTAAACACATGTTGGCATTTCTTCTTTTTTTTTACTGAACTAGTCTGCAGTAACAGGGCTCATTAGAAACAGATGGCCAACCAAGAGTGGCCAAAAAAAAAAAAAAAAAAAAACTGACATTGCTAATATGTGAGTCCCATCTCACACTCAATGCACTACGATAGCGTATATGCAGAAGTATGCAAAAAGACTTTTAATTTGTCACATGCCTGGGTCAAGCTCTTCAGGTGAACTGTAAATCAGCGGATTTAAGGTCTGTTTTCTTTATCAGCGATCTCCACTGCCTGACTGATATCTGATTTAAAGTGGGTCTCGGAATGTACAAGAAGCACTGCATTAAATAACCTTTTATTCTGCCATGTCTTTAAAATATGAACATTTATTTTACCCCAGTATATTCAATGGAGCTTTTGCACTAGCCTGCTAATTCTGACTGGCGCGTGCATGTAAATGGCTTTTCATCTCGTTTAGCGACTAAATGAATGCCAAAGTCTATTTAACTGATTTTATTTTAATTACATCATAACATTGATGCTGTATAAGGAACATAACCATTCACCGGGAGTTTATCAGTTTGGGAAGAAACACTAGCTCTGCATTACTATGGTATAAATACAACACCGCAACATACAAAAGAGAGAGATCTCCACTTACCTGTTTAATAATGATTTAATCAGCTGTAGTTTAAAATTACGCTGGGTTTTTCCTCCTCTAAGGGCTTATTATGCGTCTCTGTCGCCATCTTGTGGATAGACAACGTCAACCGTCTTTGCTCAGCTCAATGATAGAGGCTAATGGCCGCCGACGTGCTATCTAAAATTAACAAAATAGGCCCTATCTTTATAATTAAACTGCATAGTTGCTATCTAAACAACTACAGTCTCAACTAAAAAGCCTCAAAAGTACATTATGATGTCCAACAGCAGCAATATGTCAAACTGTAGCGTGACCTCTGGTTGTTGCATGTGGGCGGAGTAATACACAAGGGTGAAGGGTGAAGATGCTTGACGAGTGCTGAATTTAAATTTTCCTTTAAACCAAAAAATTATTAAATACTATAGTAATCTAAAATTAATACTATGGTGTTTTTTAACCATACTGTACTAAAGTATATTTTACTGTAGTACTATTATATTATAAAATGCACTCTGTTAATGAATGCTACAGCATACGAACTCTACTGAACTGATAAACTGTAATAAATACTGTATTAGACCGTAGTAGATTTAACTACAGTAAACTGTGGTGTATTGTAGTATAGCTGTAGAAAACGACAGTATTCTGCAGTTTGTACATATTACAACTATAATCTCACAATTACAGATTAATTCAAGTACTGTTTGGTTCAAAAACACTAAATTATTTACTACAAATTACTAATATGTGGGAAAACTATTTTTTTTTTACTTCTGTCAGCATAACTTCTAATAGGCCGTAATCTCTAATATAGTGCTGGGAAAAGATTGATTGCATCCAAAATTTGTTTTGACAATGTGTGTGTGCTATTTATTATGTGATGCTCAAACACACATATTACATATTAAAAACAAAAAGTATACAAAACTAATTATAAATTAAACCTAAATACATAAATGTATACATAAATTTGTACATAAATTGGTATGTATATATATATATATATATATATATATATATATATATATATATATATATATATATATAAAATATAAATAAATATCTAAATATAAATAAATATTTTCTCAAAGACATGCATTTATTTATATTTACATAATACATTTACACAGCGCACACACATGGTTTAATGTCAACACAAACATTTATTTTGGATTATCGCGTCTAGTTTTTGCCCAACACTAAATATAATGCTCCTACACAATATATTTACCTTTGTTAATATTGTGTATGGAATGTCTCTCCCGCCTTTGATTTGTACATTTGCCACAAGGGGGCATTGCTTCTCTCTACAACTCTGATCTCTCAAGTTAAAATTTACTAGCTTGGTATTTACTTTTCTACTTTGATGGTAAGTGACTAAAATATAACATTAATCTAAACAGGTAGCGCCGAAATGCAGATTGTAAACGCTCAAGTTTAGCTATTATGTTTACATTGAGCTTTTTTTTTTTTTTTTGCAGAAATCATTGTTTTATTACAATGGGATCAACTCAAGAACTCAAAGTACTAAGTGCAAGCCTGCAGGAGAGGAATAAACACAACAGCTCTAGTATAGGAGCAAAAACATAAACTATAGTATTAGAGAGGCGAGTGTATCAGGTACACATTTAATATTGTGCATTATAAAAATCAGGTGTAGTGAGATAATACATCATAATCACAATACAATTATAATACAGTTGCAACTGGAATATGAATTATTAGACCCCCTTATTTATTTTTTCCCCAATTTCTTTTAATGTATAGTTTAATGGAGAGAGTTTTTTTTTAAACACATTTCTAAACATAATAGTTTTAATAACTCATTTCTAATAACTGATTAAATTTATCTTAGCCATGATGACAGTAAATAATATTTGACTATATATTTTTCAAGGCACTTCTATACAGCTTAAAGTGACATTTAAGGGCTTAAATAGGTTAACTAGGCAGAGGTTATTAGGCAAGTTATTGTATAACGATGGTTTGTTCTGTACACTATAGAAAATATATCTTAAAGGGACTGATAATTTTGGCCTTAAAATGTTTGGAAAAATAAACAAAACTAAAAAACTGTTCTTATTTCAGCTGAAATAAATGCAAATAAGACTTTCTCTAGAAGAAAAAAACATCAGACATACTGTGAAAATTTCTTTGCTCTGTTAAACATAATTTGGGAAATATTTAAAAAAGAAAAAAATCAAAGAGGGATTAATAATTCTGATTGCAACTGTATATAGTCAAAAAGTCATAATTATTAGCCCTTCTGTAGAAATTTAGTTCATTTAAAAATATTTTCTGAGTGATGTTTAACAGAGACAAGAATGATTTTGAAAAACATTTTAAATTAATAGTTTTAATTACTAAATTCTAATCATTAATTTCTTTTGTCTTGGCCATGATGCCAGTCTAAATTTTGTTATAATTATTAATTATATTTTTAATATTTATTTTTTGGCAAAATAATAGAATTTAGATTTAAGGGATATTTAAAGACCAAGGCAGGGGTGCACAAAACTCGGTCCTGGAGGGCTGGTGCCCTGCAAAATTTGGCCCTAGCTTGCCTCAACACTCCTGCACGGATATTTCTAAGTCTAGTAAAAGCTTGTTAAGCTAGCCCGGGTACCTACTACACTTGATTTTGGTTTTATTGTATATAAGAAAATAAGAAAACATGTTAAATGAGAATCTGAAATATTCTAACTGACATATCATATAATATAATATATAATAAATATAATATAAACTGACATATCATCCATTTGGTAGAGGTTGATAATTTTGGAACTATGGGATGTGTTGAAGAAAAAATGCATTGAGTGTGTTATATAGTGACATTAGGAGTTTTTTTTTTTTTTTAGTGGGGCAGGGTTAAAGGATTAAAAAGGAAGGAAAAAACAAGTTCTGAAAGAGATCAAGCCTCGGTCAGTTAATAAAAAGTAACGCAAAAGTCACTCAAAAGTAACGTAAATCATTACTTACCAAAAAAAGAAACACAACTTGTTACTTTTTTTGGGGGTAACTCAATATTGTGCATTACTTTCCAAAGCAACTTTCCCCAACATTGGTATTCGTGTGCTTTTAATGGCACACTTGTGTACAAGTTCAAATGCTAGGGCATATAGGCATATTTATTTAGTTTGGAGCATGTGCACACACCAATGCTTGATTCAGAGGACAAAAAGGGAAAAAAATCTTAAAAATCCACCAGCATAAAAACAAAATGATCATATTTACAGGTATGACTTCTGTGTAGATATGTATGTCTGCACATTTTACAGTGATAATGATCTATGATGGCTACTTAAAAAAATAACCCATGCAAACAAAAAAGTCAGCACTCTTTCGAAGAACTGGGCTGAACTGGTTCCACTACAAAGATTTCCAAGAAACCACAGAGCGATATCGATTTGCAACAAGATTTGGTTTTATTTCACAAATGAACGACCAGTTTTGGGTTCCTGCACATCAATGACGGTAATTTAACCAGACGTATTTTCAAAAATATCAAGTCAATAGCAATTAAATGAACTACAGCTGACTGCTTTCGTTTTGCGGTCACCGAAGTAAACTAAACAAACACTAAATTATTAGCATTTTCACTTGGCAAGTGCGGTTGCTTGAGGCTGCGATTGTATCTTGGTGAAAGACACCCCAGGGCTTTCCCACATTATTCCATTTGCATAAACATCAAAATATTTCTCTATATAAATAAACTTACAGGCGACACGGTGGATCAGTGGTTATGTTACCTCACAGCAAGAGGTCGAGCTTCGAGTTCCGGCTGGCATTTCTGCCAGAAAAAAAATTCATTTTAGCTTTGTTGTGATTGCTAATGTTCTGGAGAACTGGAAAACTTGTGGCCAAATAATGTTTCACCCAACACAAAAGGATTGTTTTGTACACTGAGAACGTTTCTTTGTTGGATTTGACCCAGATGAGTCATGTTCAGGGCCGGAGTGGGACACCTTTTCAGCCCTGGAGTTTCAAGCCTCAGACCGGCCCACCTCAGTTCACGACTGACTATATTAAAATAAGGTCATTTCCAAATCAGTTTCTAATGACACTATCACGTCTTTTTTAAAAAAAAAAAACAGCTGCTTTAGAACTTCAAATATTCAACAACCCTAACAGTATTATATGTCTTAACAATAAAAACGAAAACAATAAGTTACTCTAATGAGGATCGAACCCGGGTCCGCGGCGTCCTAACTTAACAAGCTAACCGCTGGACCACAATAGCTGTGTTCAGGACGGAGACACAACTGAGTTTTATAATCATTAAAATAGATGAAAAGAGAAGAGTTGTGGTAAAATAATGAATAAAAAGGCTGTGGTCAAGTAAATAAATAAATTTAAAAAGTGTGACTGCTGAGAGCAAAAGATTCTGGAGCTACGGACACCGGCCCTCGCGGCCAAAAAACGGACTGGCCCACCGGGAATTCTCCCGGTCCTCCCGATTAGCCAATCCGGGCCTGGTCATGTTGAGAACAAATCAGCAGACTTTCAACCCAAAAAGATGCCCTCTTCTGATAAGGTTATCTGATGCCCTCTGCTGGACCATTTTAGGGATTCTTGTTCTTACCTTCTTAGAAGATTCACAAATCCATAACGCATTTAATGAGCATTTCACACAATTTCAGTGAAATATAAAAAGGATTTCCCCAGTATTGATTTCAAATTATTTTTAAGTTTGATATTACAATCTGCTCTGGTGTTGTGCCGAGAAATGCACCCCCTCATAGACTTTCTCAGTCTGCATTTAATAAAAAATAGTAATAATTGATTAAAACGCAAAAAATTATAATTATTTTGATGGATAAAGCAAGGTCAAGGAGTGAAACGCATTTAAAAACGCACTAGGTTTACAAATAAATGTAAAATACCAATATTGCAAGTCTATCCAAATAAGAGTATTGGTAATAAATACATAAATCAATTGCATATAAAAAATAACCAGAATAATAAAGTTTTTTTTAGCATTGCATTAATCTGTTGAAATTATGGCTGCAAAAAATATGCATCCTACGTTGTTTAAAAATATGTATTCTATATGGAAATATTTCAAATAAATAACTTTATTTTTTTGAGTATTTCTACCGTGGCTCAATAGTTAGCACTGTCGCCTCAAAGCAATCACTGGTTCAAGTCTCAGTTGGGCCATTTGGCATTTTCTGTTTCCTCCGGTTGCCCTCACAGTCCAAAGACATGCATTATAGGTGAATTTGGTAAACAAGTGCGTGTGTAAATGTGAGTGAGTATGGGTGTTTCCCAGTACTGGGTTGTGGCTGGAAGGGCTGCCTAAAACATATGTTGGAATAGTTGGCGGTTCATTCAGCTGCTGTGACCCTTAATAAATAAGAGACTAAGCCGAAATAAAATGAATGCACGAGTATTCCTACCTGACTTCTTATGGCCTACTACCAAATGTTCTCTATGGCCAAGATATCCATGCCTTGGTATCTTTGCATCACTCTGATTAGTCCGTCTGTTAAAAAAAGCCCAAAAAATTCTGCTGTAATGTCTACTTATAAGTCTGTATCTTCACCATTTCCTCTCTCTGTCTCTGCAGCATGTGAGTGCTTGCCACCATAGAGTTTATGTGGATAATGATCTTGGTCAATCTTTCTCAGAGAGACAGAGACATTGACCAGGTGAAATGGCTGTATGCTCTAATAGTGTAAAAAGACGTCAGCGTTAGTAATGCGGGTTTGACAATGTCAGAAAAACATTCTCCTCACTCCTCACTTTTATTAAAAAAAAAACAACTGACAGTAAGGCGCTCTGCATACAGCATTGTTGATGGAAGCTGGCAGCTCTAGAGGCCTTTTATTGACATTTAAACAAACACATAAGCTAAACAGGGGAATTGGAGAGAGAAAATGTGCTTGTCAATCCCGCAGACTGAGTGAATGTAACCTTAGACTTGACTTAATATCCACGTCTGCATTACGGGATTATTGAGACACGTGACCGAGGCTCCAATAACAGATTCGGAAGACCTGCAAGTATTTGCAATACCTTGGCAAATATTAGAATATCTGTGACTGAGACTTGAGGTGAGTCATAGCTTTACAGACTAAACATTGAGTTTTTACAGCCCACAAAACCTACAGCAAGAAATAATCAGCTGTTTCGTGGCTCTTAAGTTTAAAACTAATGAAGATTCTTGTCATTGTTGCTAAAAATAAAATGTTATACGGCAAGAACAAGTCAATCGGATTATGTTGTGGTAATTTTACTGTATGATAAAGTACTGTCGAATTGATGGTTTGTAAAAAAAAATGCAATTAGGGTATCATTTATGTTTAAAAACAGGGATGTTTGCAGACATTTCCTCATTTAAAAAAAAATTATATTGACAAAATGATATTATATTAATAAATTAATCAATTCTAAAGATACATTTATGACATACAAGTTCATATTTGATTTTTGCACATATAAAATGTGTCATATGCACACTGCTCAGCATAAATGTGTACATATAGGTGTTTAGTTAGGGTAATATATTTTGGTGTATTTAAACAAAACAGATATTTTAATCAGATATAACATAGCTCAGCGGCTAGCACTGTTGCCTCACAGCAAGTGATCGCTGGTTTTAGCCCTGGCTGGGTCAGTTGGCATTTGTGTGTTTAGTTTGCATGTTCTCCCCGTGTTGGTGTGGGCTTCCTCTTGGTGCTCTGGTTTCCCCCACTGTACAAAGACATGCACTATAGGTGAATTGGGTAAGCTGAATTGGTAGTGTATGTGTGTGAATATAGATAGGTGATGCGGTGGCGCAGTTTGTAGTGGTGTCGTCTCACAGTAAGAAGGTCGCTGATTTGAGCCTCGGCTGGGTCAGTTGGGATTTCTGTGTGGAGTTTGCATGTTCTCCCCGCGTTCGCAAGGGTTTCCTTTCCCTTGCACCTTTCGCAAGGTGTTTCGGTTCCCTCCAGAGTCCAAAGACATGTGGTACAGGTGAATTGGGTAGGCTATGTTGTCTGTAATAGATGAGTGTGAATGAAAGTGTATGGGTGTTTCCCAGTGATGGGCTGGAGTTGGAAGGGCATCCGCTGCGTAGAACATATGCTGAATAAGTTGGCTGTTCATTCGGCTGTGGCGACCCCAGATTAATAGAGGGACTAAGCCGAAAAGAAAATGAATGAATGTGTCTGAATAGGAGTGTATGGGTGTTTCCCAGTGACTACAAAAATTCAGCTAAATTTGATACATTTTTTTGGTTTCTTTAGATTGTTTTTGAAATATTCTGAAACAATTTATAAATATATCATTATATAATACCCGTAAATAATGTAAGTATAACCATTTTTACAGTGTTTGGACTAAGTTAAGACCAAGACCGGACCCTCATTCATTCCTTCATTTTCCTTTGGCTTAGTCCCTTGTTTATCAGCCAACTATTCTGGCATATGCTTTACATAGTGGATGCCCTTCCAGCCAAAACCCACTGGGAAACACCCATACACACTTGCAAACAAACACACATATGAAAAATTTATTTCATCCAATTCACCTATAGCACATGTCTTTAGATTGTGGGGGAAACTGGAGAACATGCAAACTCTAAACAGAAATGCCAATTGGTCCAGACGGGACTGGAACCAGCAACCTTCTTGCTGTGAGGCAATTGTTCTAACCCCTGGCCATGGTGCCACCCCAAGACTGGAAACTTTAAAACCAAAAATCATTAATTAATTAGAAAATGCAAAATTTATTGGAGTCATTTTTTATATATCTAAGAAACCATGGAAGCTTGTTTTCACAACTGAAAATCAAACGTAATTGTGTGAGTTTACATCTTGCAATTCTGACTTTCTGACTGCAATTGTGTCTTATAAAATCAGAATTGTGAGAGAGTGTAAAATGTCAGGGCAGCGCGGTGGCGGAGTGGTTATCGTTGTTGCCTCGCAGTAAGAAGGCCACTGGGTCGAGCCTTGGCTGGGTCAGTTGGCATTTCTGTGAGGAGTTTACATGTTCTCCCTATGTTGGCGTAGGTTTCCTCTGGGTGCTCCGGTTTCCCCTACAGTCCAAAGACCTGCGCTATAGGTGAATTGAGTATAAGCTAAATTATCCGTAGTGTATGTGTGTGAATGAGAGTCTATAGGTGTTTCCCAGTGATGGGTTGCAGCTGGATGCGCATCCGCTGTGTAAAATATATACTGAATAAGTTGGCAGTTCGTTCTGCTGTGGCGACCCCAGATTAATAAAGGGACTAAGACGAAAAGAAAATGATTGAATGAATGTAAAATGTTAAACTCACAAATTCCAAATTACACACCGACTACTCAGCCTGATCTCAAGAGGACACAAAACTCTTTCTCATTGAGGTCAGAAAAGTGGCTATTTTTTACAAATTCAAACTATTTAATTTATATGAAAATATTACATTTTTCGAAGGAGATGTCGCCCCAAACCCCACCTCTTTGAAGGTTGGGGGATGAGCAAATATACTAAAATGTATAAATGAGATTCTTATATTAGCTAAGAATTAGTCAGTAAATAAAATAAAGTTACAATTTGTTGAGAGATCGCATTAGACTTCTAGTTCAATGAAATTAAATGAATCATAGCAGATCATAAAAGGTCGAGTTGTGAGATCTGCTGTGTACAGGACTTTGGACCAATAAGAAATAGTTCTGTTTTGTCTGAATTTTAGAGAAGGAAATTGTTGGTCACCCAGTCTTTTACATCTTTAACATACTCAGCTAGCTTAGACAGACGAGTCTCTGCATTGATCCTGTGGGCCAGTATGAACACCCGCCGATGACCTACTCAGACCTGCAGCTTCTCCATGATGGACTTCCAGTGTTCTCCAGCCTCTAGACTGCAGCTCTGCACAAGAAGTTAG